CCCCAAAACCCCAAAACCCCAAAACCCCAAAACCCCAAAACCCCAAACAATCAGGCCTCTATTGAATTTTGAATAATTTTTAGATAACTAGCTTTTATCCTTTTCAGCATCATCAAGTTTTGCAGCTGATCCATCATAATCCTCTCCTCTCTTTTCTTTAAGTTCTTGGAAATATAAGGCTTCTATTAAAGTACATATCTGAACTTCAGCTTTCTCCAGATCATCATTAGTGATTCTGTTTGTAAAAAGAACAGCATTATTAGCCAACTCAATTTCTTTAATAGCTAATTCAATTCTCTTTTTGAAGAGTTCTTCTGTATCCTCAGTTCTATTAGCGATTCTTCTTCTCAGTTCTTCGATTGAGGGAGGATATAGAAATACAAAATTGGCTGCAATAGACTTTAAGCCATTAGCACCGTTAAAGTCAACTTCGATATATGGTATTTTCTCTTCTGCTCTAATTCTTTCAATTTCTTCTTTACTAGTTCCGTATGAGTATCCCCAGGAATCTGCTACTTCAAGAAACTTTCCATCTGCCTTCATTTTATCAAACTCGTCTTGGGTGACATAATGATACTGGTTTTCGTCTTCTGCTGGTTTGCGTTCCCGAGTAGTATGGCTTACACAATAATCGAATAAATCTCCGTACTCCTTAAGTACTTTAGTTCTGAGGGTCTTCTTACCAACTCCGAAGGGTCCTCACACAATAAATGGCTTATCTTTAACAGGGGTGGGGTTGAATGGATGGAAATATTCCTTTGAGAATAAGTACACATCGTCAGGCTTGTTCAGGAGAACACTTGAGAGGAAGTCATTTAAAATCTCTCTCATCTCAGGATGTTTTGAAATGTACTCTTCATGACTTTCTATTAACTTTTGCTTCCTGACAGCCAGATTTAAGTAGTTAACCATCCCTTGCTCTAAGTTTTTCTATATCAAATCAGTAAGTGAACATTGAGCATTAAAATAAATATTTACTTTATTATTCATACATATCAGAAAGGGATAAGCCAATAATAAACTACTTAACCATTGAAGAGCCTTGAGGGCTGTTTCTTTATGCACTAGTCACAAACTGCTTCTGTGGAATATTTTAACTTATCGAATACTTTAAAGATTTACCAAAGCTGACTTAACAGTGGGCTCTAAAACTCGTGCCTCTTAAAAGCAAGACTATGACTAAGAGTCTGACCCCACTCGCACAATTGAAAATGGTGGATCTAATTAGAGCTTACAACTTCGTCATCAAAGTCGTCTTGCTGCTGATTCATTTTATTCTTATAAAAATAAATATTTAAATTTTCTGGGGTTTTGGGGTTTTGGGGTTTTGGGGTTTTGGGGTTTTGGGGTTTTGGGGTTTTGGGG